GAAAATAATTTACACCTTTTACCTCTTTGGTGGCGAACTGAGAGAAACGAAGTGTGCAAGCGACAGTACAGACCGAACACAGTGAGGTCTGTACCAGTGACCGAGGTCAAGATTCTCCCATACAGACTGACCTAGCTCAGTTAATAAGATGTTTATTATATGGCTGTGTCTTGTATGCCAACTTTTTATATTCTTTGTACCTTTTTTTTCAAGACCGGTCTACATGTTGGTCTAGATGGGAAATCTAGAAAGCTTTCAATATTGATTTCAGCCAATCAAATTTGTGAATTCGGTAGTTCCCAGTCCTGGTGAGACACAGCCATATAATAATATTGGTTATTATATACGTAGAGTTACTCACATTAAGCCTGTATGGCATTGACTCAAAGTAAATTGATGTTGCTGAAATCCTCTTAGTATCAGTCATGAAGCCATGGGTTAAACTGTAACAAAAAATTAGGCAATGGAATACTTCCTATCATACAAAATTATCAACAAATATTTAATCACTGTCTTGCTTACAGCTTAAATGGAAGGTTGGCACCTGAGCTACTAAATTCAACAGTGACTTTAAGTGTGTGTTAACCACAAACAGGGTTACCATTCATATGTGGTATTTACTTTCAAAGATTCCATATCCTCTCAAGACTTACAACCCCATATACGTGCTAGCTTTGTGCCTGTGCAATAGAAGCTTTGGCGACATTTCACAGCCACCATAGGGAGGAGTTGGAGATACAGTTTCAAATTGATCCTTTATTAACTCTTGAGATCAGATACTATGCCCCCCCTGATCTTATTGATCCAGTTATCTATTCTCCTTACCTATGACTGGATAATGTATTCAAATAGCAAAAAGAAGTTATATGTTAGTGTCAAATGTTCTAACTTACTGTCCCCCATGAGGCAAATCAAGCCCCATTATTCTGTCATGCGGCTTCAAAAGACCAGTGTAGGCAGCAAAATTAGCAGGCGACCCTGAAATGAAATTGCCATGATAATATATTAAGTATTTTAACCCTTTACTATCAACCTTAACATCAGTATGCATACAATCTTAGAAATACGTCAGTCTCTGTCCCTAGAATCCACACTCAAAGGTTAAAGAACGTTTTTAGTAAATTTAGGATAATTTTTAAATATGACATGTAATAGTTTCCCTTGTGAGTTTATGTTGTAACTTAGGATATGTGATTTTATCTTAAGAAATAAAGATTATGATTTGATTTTTTGATTTGATTCTCCATACTGAAATTTGGCCACTAAATTTCTTCTCTGCACCTCTGGCAAGTTGTAGTCTTTTTATGACAAAGTGTCCGTGATCTAACGCTAAAGTAGGAGAAACCTTTGCTAAAAGAATTTTACAATATTGTACAAACTTTTCTTTCCAACTTTGTTACTAGGTAAGTTTAGTTTTGCATCTGTCAACCATTTATTGTTTTGAGCTTGCCATATAGCAACTTAGAATAAAAAAAGCTTTCAGCCTTGTAAAATATACCTGATTTCAAAGACCATAACTGTCAGCTACTGTCTCTGAGAAGTTTTTACCTGAGTATGGTTGAACATTCACTCCCCACTCCTTTGGATCCAGATTAAAGGCCTCAAGTGCCCTCTTCTGAACAAGCAGTTCAATTTTGTCAATTATCTGTGTTCCTCCATAATATCTGTAAAGAAAACCACAGATTTTAAGTATTGATTTCCAGAGTTAACAAACCAGCATTCCTTGCTGAGATCATTCTGGTCACCAAAGTCAGTGGAAAAAACATTTATTAATCAAGAGACTACTGAAATTTACGACACAAGTTGATGATTTGGCAACCTGTACTCTGCAGTCATGTACCAAGTTGCCAGTTTTTATCATCACTAGGACATTACAGTCTATAGTTGAAGTTAAAATTACAAATAATTGCCAAATGACTTAGAATTAAACATTGAGAAGTCCCATGAAACTCCAAAATACTGCTAGTTATGTTGATTATTTTTAGTGATTAACAGAGTGTAGTCAGCATGATATATTACAGTGTCCTTTTCTCCACAACTTCAATTTTATTTCTCATGACTACTTAATTATTACAGGTGAGCAAGTGATAACTTTAAAATATTTGTAATGAATGATACTGAGTCAATTCTCACTAATGAACAGTTATGTGTTAGCCCTTTACTCCAACCAAGGGATAAAGCTCAAAACATCAGCTTTGAAACTCTTTTTAACAGCCAATTTACATTATTGACTCCATTCACAAAACCAAATTATCTTGTTGTACCTCCCACTGATGAAGCGCCACAGTTTCTTTAGAAACTAACCCCCTTTAAAATGGTTGTTTGAACCCTTGAAATCATTATGCATATTAAATTCTGTGTGGGTACAGTTCTACTTAATATGAGTCTAATGACAAATTGTTACACGAGATCAGAAAATATTTCACCTTTGACCAGGGTACCCTTCAGAATACTTGTTGTTTAAGCAAGATCCCATAGCTTCTAAGGCAGCACGACTGCAGAAATTCTATAACCAAAGATAAAAGCCAATTATTTTAAGACTGATTGTTGGTTCACCCTGGGACTCCACTCTAAACATGCTATACAGTAGGTTCGAGCTCAACCAATTAAGCTTATCAACCAACAAGAGAAGCAATTTTGAAATTTTATTCACCATCAGGCAGCCAGTGGGAGAACTTATACTCAATACAGTGATTATCATTATCACTGTTATGAGGTTGATATTGCAAATTGAAACTGATATGCATGTAGGATCGATGGTCTAAACCAGAAAAAAAATTTATTTATGCATAACTTCAAACATCTTTGTTCAGCTTAAAAATTGAATGGTTATTACTTCACTCACATCTTTGAAAATATTTTCCACAAATAGAAATACATTACTATAGAAATATGTTATGTAACAAACTAGAAACTATTTCCCACACAAAAATAGAAATAGCAATTAAGTGTAAAAGTAAACCATAAGGGATTATTAATGATTGAATGGCACTGCACAATAAGTATACAATTAATAACTTCCAAAAGAGAGACACCTATAGAAATAAATCACACACAAAAAAATTAGAATATTCTTGAAAATCTAAACACAGTTTTCATAATAATCATCACCATTAGAGTCATCATCACAGCCTTAATTCCTTTTCCCTACATAGGTAGCAGACCCCACAAAAAAGAGAGAATTTTCATTTCAAACCTCTGAGGCAATGAGTTCTAGTCCCCTAACTTGACGATCCTTTTCCTGTTGAATCAAGTCGTACATTTGTGGGTCATCATCTTCAAGTTTCTCTTGGCCTGTCCATATAGTGGCCCTCACTGAAGTAGATCGGCAAAGAGATAGCAACACTGTGTTACTTAGGAGAGTATCATAACAGGGCTGTGAATAAAATGAAAACCAACTGAATGTTAAGTATGTAAAGGCTTCCCCAACCTTTTCATTTGCAAGAGGTACCAAAGTGGAAGTTTTCCTTACAATAACAATACAGTTTTGAGCAGAAAGGTTGGGCAAAGTAAGTACATTATTAAAGAAGGTATACTGCAAGATTTAACACCAAATTCTTGTGGCTAAAGTTTCAAGAATTCTATGGGAGCCAGCAGAGAGAATTGATATCTAGGTCTTGGATGTGAATGGGTAAAAAATATTTACTTTGAGAGTCTGTCAAATAATAATCAATAAAATTTCAGTTTGGAAAACAACACCCTCTGTCACCATTTACCCAAATGCTTTGTATAAGGGAGTAAATGCAACCTACATGATACCCAGTGAGGTACTCTGTTAGAGGGATCAAGATAAGGTGCTTGAGGTATGAAATGGCTTTTCATCACTAAAATCTCCTTCCAAAAAAACAACTTACATTACACACACACAAAAAAAAATGAAAACGAGAACTTATTTTTCTTAAATTTGCACTACAATATTTTGTTTGATGCGTAACCGTTTCATTCAGATAAAGAGTAAACTAAATCAGTGATTTTACAGACAGGGGGGGTCAACTGGCACCACAAACAATTGTTGTGTAAAATTTACAAAATTAAAAAGCAGAAATAAAACGTTTAATTAAATAAATCTCTTTTTAAATTATCACGAGTCCTTGGTCAAGAGCACCCTTAAATCACAACAATTTGATTAGATTTTTACGATTGTGCAATACGTCTCCTGATGTTCAGGTGTTCGAAAAATCAGTGACTGGCCTTCTGAAGATTTTCTTTGCGTGTATAACTACGAAGTAATTTCGTGATAAAGTCATTCTTTAAAATGCACTTACCTTCAGCGATCCGAGTTTACGCGTCAAGGAAAACATTGGTAAAACTTACGATAAAGAAATAAATTACAAAAATAAATAAATGGTGCTCGCAGATGTGGTGTTTCTCGAAATTTTTGCTGAAGCCAACGAGAAGTAAGTGGGCCTGCTGTAGTAATGGTCAGTGGTAAGAATATATTCTCCTCCCCTCCCCTCATAGTTTGAGAATTCACCTCGATCCAGCCTTTTCTCGGTCTTTACCGCGATTCACACATCCGCTTGATTCCGCTCTTCAGTTTCTTTACACGAGGCGTTTTAAAATTTGCCGAGCTTTCATCGTTGTTTGCAGTTTTCTCAGGGGTCAAACGCATATTGCTGTTTTGCAAACATTTCAAGCTCTACGTAACATCTCCTGGGTTTCAAACGAGAGGCTTTTTCTTCGGACGGTATGCGGTTTTTTTCGCCGTGCAGGTGGTAGAGTATCGTAAACAGACAAGTAAGTAGAGCGTTACGCGTTTTGTACGTGATTGAAGTTGAGGACAATGGGCAGTTAGATTTTTCGAACCACCGACAGATTACTCCGACACCTAGGAAGGTATATTGCTACAGTTTTAAGGACCTCTTGAAAGTATTTAACATTTCTTTGCATGGAGAACTGCAATCGTGGTGAACTTTCGATGCTTTTTGGTTGTTTCGAATCGCGGGAAGAAGTATGCTTGGTGGTCGTGGGAAAAAACTTGTGTTTATCGTATCAGAGTTTTTGCTGCGAAAGTATTTTGAGACCTGATGGTGAAGTTTGATAGCGTTAACTTGAAGTAGCCTTTTTTAGCAAAGGTGAACATTATAACCCCTTATTTTATGTCGACATAGTTAGTTTTGGATCGTGAAAGGCATATTTCGAGATGCCGGTCAAACGAATCGGATTTTTCCCATGGATTTGTTGATTTTTATTTATCAATAGAGGTCAATTTTTTTTAACCGTTTGGTGGCATATACTGCCGCAGCTGAGTAGTCACTGTGTTTAAAGGTTTGTACGTCTTTCAAAGTGATGAATTATTCACCAAATTATCTCATTTCTCACATGCAGGGGTCGGTGCATAACCACAAAGCCAGATTCCACTCATCTCCCTTCACTACGAATTACGAAACGCCCAACTCGGGAACAACGAAGAGTACGTTCGAGGGCGAAGGTCGTTTTAGTGGTTTTCTTGCCTAAATTTTGCTGCACTGTATTGGATCAAGGACTATAAAATCAATATAATATAGGTGACGACATTTGCTCCATTCAATACGTACGTCGTCTGACTCAGGTAATTCAGCACGTTTGTTCGTTCACCGTATCTCGTGCGTCGGCAAAGCGATCGAATTTGCTGCGTTGTATAAAAAGATGAATGGTAGTATTCTAGTGAATGGAAGTCAGAGATCAGAATTAGTCATTTTAGTCAAGGGAAAACGATATGGACCTGTAATGGCTTCTGCTCCCGCAAACAAGGAAAATGTTTCTCCTGAGAAAGACATAGAGTGTTTGTCAGACAGTTTCCAAAAGAGTCTTACAATGAATCACGTCGAGAAAGATGGACGTTATTTTCTGGATGTAATGGAGAAGGAAAGCGAACGATTAACGCGGCTTTGCCAGGCTACAGAGCAAGAGATGGCGAGTAAATCGCTCCCAGAAGATGGTGAGATATTTTGAGTTTATTGTTGGGAAAGTGTACAATGTATTCAATGAAAGGTACGCCTCTGATCCAAACTGGTGTACTCAAAGACTATTTTCACCACTTTTGCGTAATCATCTTTGTGGAAAATATCTACTCGAAGCGATCCGCATGAAATCCGAACGGCGTATTTCTAAATTGGATTGTCTCTTACGATCATGTTTACTTTTGCTGTCTTCGTGTTAATTTCTGGCAGTGTGGTTTAGTCTAAAAAATTTCCTTTAACATTACTACAGTTTTTTTTTTCTGTTAATTATCGGGGAAGGAAAAATTATCGTTCTCAAATCAAGCGAGGAAGAAAGGTATTCATTCTTTAATTTGTCGGTGGAGGAGTTTATGTGCAGTATCATCAGCTGTGGCTACGAATCTGCACAGCCTAAGCTTTATGTCAAAAATTTTGCTCAGAATTTTCTTTGTGTACTTAACATCCTGTGATTTAACTGTTTTTTCAAGAGGCTTGATAAACATGCTCAAAAAAGTATCTGACATCATGTGTGAAAGCATATCTAGGGCATGTACCAACAATAGAATTAAACGGGGATGGGAGACTTTTTTAACTTTAATCAGCTGTTTACATCTAAATTGTCCACACCTTAAATTATTGTCAGTCATTTCTAGCTAGGAAATATTGGGAAATGAAAAAAATGTAAAAAAAAAATGGTACTGTTGAGCTCCCCATTGCTTTCTCAGCATGATTTTGAGGAGTATGGTAATAAATTTGATATTCACTTTTTCATACTTACATATGTACAACTGGAAGACAACTGCTTTTTGTAAGTAGTTTGATTTATGCAAATCAGTCTTATGTGAATATCATTTTTAGTTAACTTTCAAATGGTAGAAAGCTCATTAGCAAATATCCAACTGAAGAAATCATCATTTTACTCAGAAGGATTTAATTGTATCCTTTTTTTTCTCCACATAAATACCAACTCGTTGATATTATCAAATGACACTTGAACATCCAATTTCAGTGTCATGTTGGTAAACTGACTATTTATTGTGTAAATTATTTTGTGGTAAACCTTACCTACAATATATTTTAAACTTTTCATGAGTTATGTCACAACGACTTTTTTTATGATTTCAAAATATTTAACAATTTTGATGGTAGTCACTTACTAGGGACCAAAGATGAGATTTGATTGATAAATTTCATACTTTCAGATGAAAGCATACTTCTTAACTTGCAACCAATTTTATATTTGGTGAAAGTAACATTTGAACTCTCAATTGATTTTGTTAAGTCATTACTCCTCATGAATTTTTTTTGGTAAATACCAGACTTATGTAGTTGTGATTGTATGTCTCCAGACACCATCAACTGCCTAGAGAATTTACCTATATATGTTAGGTAGGACTTTCCTTTACATTTACTACTCCAGGATTTCTCTATATGACAAGTTTCGAAGAGTGTCCTTAAAAGGAATCAAGATAAGCAAGTTTTATTTTAGATGTTTTATAAATTGATATTGCACATTTGAATTTACTTGTTACAATATATTGCAAAGCAGCTTGGTTTTTAACTAAGTTTCCAGTTCACCTGAATTTCAGATTTTACCTTAAGAAGTTGCCTTATTCTGTAGGTACGGCTCTCAGTGATACCAAAACTAACTCCCAATCAAAAGAGATTTGCTGAAAGAAACTTAAAAGAAAATTTCAACATGAGGCGTTAACAAGAATAGGTACGAAATTACAAATTGACAAACTAAATTGTAGCAAGAGAAAACTTAGGCATGGAGAAAGGAGTCGACTTCTACTGAAGAATTTATGGTGCTGTGTCAGTGGGGGGTATTACATGGTAATTTGGTTTTATCAGTGGAATCAACAAAGTAAATTGGCCACCTTAAAGAGTTTCTAAAGCTGATATTTTAAGCTAGAACTCTGATGAATGGCTAATGTTTGAAGTGTCAGCATTCAAATTCTTTACAGAGGCCAATTCACATTTACTCAGCAACTCAGTTGACAAAACCAAATTAAGCAGGGATAGTTAAAAAAGACAACCAGATTTTTAGTTTGCATCAAGTCTCTATAATTGCATTGTGATAGTGAATCTTAAATGTTGAGGAATGAATCTTTTGTCAACAGTTTTCATGGAAACTATATGCATATCTGCTGCACACAAGTTTCATCCTAATAACTTTTTCTTTCTGGCTCAGTTAGACAAGTCAAGTGACCTGTCTTAACAAGATCCTAAGTAGGTGTCTTAAGCAATACCAGAACCTAGTCTCCTTTTGAGATTTGTTATTAAAACAAATTTTTTCCTCTCCATTGGATAGCAATTTTAATTACCCTGTATAGTACTTGCTACCTTTACTGTTATAGTTTTTATGATGGTGTGACAATGATAGCTGTTAATTTATACTGTGTCATCAGAAGATATTATCTATTTACTTGGAAAACAGCTTTCATAATACAAATGTTTGTTAGAATTTATACTTTGAAACTCTTACTGTGGTATACTGGAAAATGGAACTTAATTTTTTGAATTGGTGTTTCATCACAGACAAGAATTTTTGTATTGTGGTTCCCAATATATATGTCTGGACATATTTCCTGTAGTGCATCATTACTATGGATTTTTAAGAGTGACACTTTTCTCATGGTTAAATATCAAATTCTTAAATATTTCTTTAGTCTGGGTTTGTTTAAATATAACTTTTATTGTTGGTAATTAAATTGAATAATTTCCCCTTGAGTAATGTTTGGAAGTATGAATTTTTAATTCCTTTATGGCAGGTAAAAAGGAACATTTGTTTGAACTTTGACAGCATGCATAAAAAATAATTTGTGATATTGTACCTTGTGTAAGTTCTTACCAAAAATTTATTTTTGTCCGTATTCTATTAAAATTTTCAAACTAGGTATTGATATTGAGGTTTAGAGGTCTGGAATTCCCTCATGAAGAGACAAAAATGATTGTTTTACAGAAGATTATTGTTAAGCCCATGGGTAAATTCCATTTAAGATGTGTTTTAAAATGATTTGTGATGTTGCGTGATGCTCCTCACATACATGTGTGGATTTGCAATATTTTTTCCTCTCTTTAAAATGGATACAATTTAACATCCATATACTTTATATTAGACCAAAATATTTTTGAGCCTGTATATTGAAAAAAGTAGGCTTAAATTAAATATATAATTTGGATATATCAAAAAAGTTGAAATGGTAAATTGGCCACCGTAACAATTACAAAAGCTGACGTTTCGAGCGTTAGCCCTTCGTTGCTCCGACGAAGGGCTAATGCTCGAAACGTCAGTTTTGTAATCGTTATGGTGGCCAATTTACCATTTCAACTTTGTTGATATATCTAAATTCTTTTGTTACCCCCACCAATGCAGCCCTAAACAGTTTCTTTAGAAACTATCAGCCTTTATTCCTTTAAATTAAATATAGCCTGTTATATTGTGGTGTTAAAAATTTTTTTTGCCTTGTGGTTTTTTGTTTCCTCCATTTTTGTTAGAAGCTGAGTATTGCAGCACATATTGAGAAAGCTATTGATTCAATATTTTCTACTCTTTTGTTTAGACGGAAATTTAATTTCATAAAATTGTATCAACTTTTTTCTGACAATCACAAACACACATTCAAAAATCCTTTTTACTGCACAGTTTTACTCTTTTCTTTGAGTAGTTTCAAAGAGAGAGGTTAAATTTGTTTGAATTTACAACACCTTATATATAGCAAACCAGTGTTAAATGAAATTGTT